GCTGTTTATATTGCAAAGTGAAGCAAATCTGATTTCAGGCTCTTCCAGGGCCAGGCCAGACCCCTCCCAAGGTGCCTGGCACGGTGTTACAGAAGGAGCACCTGTTCGAGTTGGAATTGAGACTCCAGCTTGGAAGGTCCTTGGGGCCAGGTTCTTGCTATAGGGGCGACGAGCAAATTTATGCTCGTGGGACAGGATTAGCTTCACGCTAGGCTCGAAGTTTAGGCTCCCTCGCTCAAGTCCAGATTATTTGCTTTCCTCTTTGGCTACCCGGTGACCTCGGTGTCATCTGGAAGCAAGAACCTGTTCCCTTCTGTCTGGCAGGCTGCATGGGAAGTATTTCTAGCCTGTGAAGAGCCTGGGAGAGTGTCTTGTGTGACTCAGGGCCCAGACAGGGATGACATTTGCCAAGGCCTGGAAAATGCTCCCTGAGACTTCAGGGATGGTAGCTTTAGCTCTCTCAACCGGGGCCGTCACATCCGACTAATCCTCCTAAGCTCTTTTTCCATCCTGCCTCTCCCCGAACTCAGACGTGCGCTCGCCATGCTGTCTGCCTGGATCTGCGTCATGCTACTGAGTGTGCTTGTGTGGTGGACTATAATAGACAAGGACAGAAAAAGGGGAAAAGCCCTCTGCTAACAGACTCCCCTAGTAAGAAGTGAGGCTGGCATTGATGCCACAGTTTCTTGCTGAAGGGGCACACGGCTGGCAATGACTTCTGTTGGGCACGTGCAAAGAGAGCAGTGCTGTCTCTGCAGCGGCTGCCCTAGGTGGAATTCAGCTCTGGACTATTTCTGCTGGATTGATGCGGGACAAGGCAAGGACACTGCATTCCTCCTGTCCGTGTCTGAGATGAGCATTGAAATCTCCTCTCAAAATGCCCAGATTTCTCGTAGCAGCTTTGTGAGAACAATATAGAGAAAGGATGCAGTGGAGTATTTATGTGGCTGTCTCCTTCCAGCAGAGGTAGCAGACACCCTTTGCTGTGGGGTTTATTTATTTATTTTTGGCTCTAAATGGCTGTCGTCGTCAAAAGCTTCCTAATTTCTGTAAGTGCCCAAGCTTCACGTATGACTGGGTCTTCTCCACGCCTTAGTGGCACGACGGAGGCTTTGGTTCTGTTTATTTTCCTCCAGCCTGTAATCTTGCTGTCCCTCACTCTTCCGCCGCTCTGACATCCTGTCTCTATTAAAAAGCAATCATGTGAGAGCAGGCAGTGGAGCCTCTGAGCTGCATCCATAGAGTTTGGGCACTGGGTCCTGTCTCCTCACTGTGCAGACGTGGCATAGGGCTGCTGAGCCCTGGGCACAGGGGCCAGGATGCCCTCTCATAGACCGGAGCCCATCATGTGGATGTAGTTTCACCTGCCTGTATCCGCAGCTGCCTGCTTTGCAGCATTAGGGAGACATGGCTTCTGCTGCTGTTGGTGCTGCAGCTACGGGGCCAGGGTTAAAATCAAATTGTATGCTGGCTCCTCAAGCAGCACCCAGGGACAGAGCAAGAAGCCCATGGACCTGGCGGCATCTGAATGAGAACAGAGCTGGTAGGAGAGACCCCAGGCTTGCTGCTTCAGGAGGTCGGAGCCAATTGGTGTCTCTGTGCTGCTGTTGCAAGCTGAGTGCGCGAGTCATTAGAAGTGAGGCTGGAGCACTGGCCTGGGCAGAGACCGCTGTGGCTATAGCAGGAGGGAAGCCCTGGCACGAAGTATGAGACAGGGGAAAGCATGACCCAGGCCGGAAAGGGCAAAATGCAACCGTGCCTCCAAGACAAGGGCTTGCCTCTGAGCGAGGGCTGGGTAAGACCCTTATATGCGACATGCCAGGCCACCCACTACTACTGCTGGAGACAGGCATGAGCATAAGAGAGTGCCGAGACCATCCCAATTCACGCCAGCCAGGGTTATTCTTCATGGGAGGCCTTGGCCAGGCACAGCACTGGCTTCAGAGCAAACTGGTTGTGCAAGCAGCTTATCCTGCACCCCTCTGGGGAGAGAACAACCCTGTGATGGGGCCTTTCTTCCAGGGCTGCTTCTTGCTGCCTAGGCAGGGAAGGGGGAAGAGGATGCTGGAGCTGATGGGCAGCACCCAGTGCAAATTAGCCCCAGCCCTGCTGGCTAATGCAGCAGGCACTGAGGTGGGGTGGGCTGTGCCAGCCGACAGAAGTCCAGCCATGTATTTCCACCATGGGAACTGTCTTTTGAAGCTCCAGCAGACCCTGCCACAGCCTGCATTGGGCCCAGCTTGCTCCTTGCTACCAGCCAAGCCTAGACAACGGAAGAGTGGCTTGTTTTATTTTTGGTCAATTTTTAAACATGCCTCTTGTGGAGAGGAAGGCCATTTCCTCTTCTCCAGCACTTGCCACCTAACAATTGCAGGTGTTCAGGAATGGTGCCTAATCAGCAAGGCAAGGGTTATTCACTGCTAAGCGGGCCCAGCTGAAGAGCATTAGGTCTCACAAGCTGGTCTGGCCCCGGCAGCCCCGGAACGGGCGTGCTCCAGACAGAATCAAGCTCCTGCAGGTATTAGGGCTCCAGTGGATAGGGTCCCCAAGTCGCACTAGCTTTCAGATGACTTTTGCAGTTGAGTCAGGGACCCAGCAGCACTTCTAGCTGGAGTGAGTGCGTTGCCCCAGGTAGTATCACTCTGGGAGGAAAATGCGTGGCTTAAATTGCCCTGGCATGTTTGCTACAGGATTGGGGGTCCAGCCCTTCTTGTGCTGTTGTATCCGTGTGGTGGACCCCCTTTCCCTGGGAGGGAGCGTGCAGGGTTCTGCTAGGGCCCAGTTGTGTATCCCCTTCCCCTATGCGTGTGGCCACACCTGCCTGTTGCAATGCAGCAGGTACACCACCAGCACTTCATAGCTGGCTAACAAGTGGTACTGAGAGTTGTAGCAATCTCACTTGAGCCTCTCTCTGTCTGCAGCCCAGCAGGATCAATAGATTGGAAGCTGCTGCATAAGCAGAAAGCCGTGGGTTATGTTGCCTCCTCCGGCAATCTGTAATTCCCAATTCCCACCCACCGGGGTCCTGTGCCCATCCTGGAGGGAGCGCAGACCCCAGCCCTGGGCTGTTAACAGGTGTTATGCATGCAGCTGCTTTGCCTGCTGCTCTGGAGGGCACGCTTAGACGTGGAAGGTGAGCTGAGATGAGTCCGTGGAGTGCTATAGACCTAGGACTAGGATCCTTCCTTAGTGATTTACGGGTCGGAGGAAAGCGGTCAGATTTGCTTTGCCTCTGTCTGTTGGACTTGGGGGAGAATTTTGTCTTGCATCTTTAGTCTGCTTTTGAGAGGATCTGCACCTGAATCTTTGGGCTCTTAGAAATGCCTGCTGGGCTTTTGGGAGCAGCTTACAAATGCAGGATTTCTTGCAGAATACCAATGTGGAGTGAAGCTAGGATAGAGAGCAAAAGGTAGGAGCAGATCTTCAAGCTGCAGCAACTAGCTAGTAGAGTAGAGCTGCCTGCCCACAGTCCTTTCTCTGCCTACACTGTCTTGTAGTTTGTTTATTTCTGTGTCGATTATTTCCCATCACAATCAATTAACTCACATAGGTCAGTGCTAGGGGAGCTGAATTAGTTCCCCAGCTTTTACTGCACATAGGTTTGTTATGGCTGACAAACAGAGAAGATGGCTCTTGGCAGGAGTTGGGATGTTTTGATCTGCACTTCATTTTTTTTAGTACACAGATTTTTATATCCTGCCCCTCAAGCTGCTTCTGTTGCTTTGCCTGAGCTCGTGCTCCTGCAAGCCTTGTTCTTCCTGATGCCTCTCTTAGCTCTCCGCTCGGAGCCTGATGTTTGCAATCGCTTCCCTGATGAGGACAATATGTACAATAGCCTTAGCTTCCTGCTAACTCGGACACCCCTGAGTTGCTATTTGTGAGGTTCCTTGCTGGAAATTGCAGGGAGCCCCAAAATATCAAAACTGCTGTTTGGGAGCAACACAGCCTGTTTCCTTCCGTGCCTGACTTTTGAAATGCAGTGAAACGCCTTCAGAGAGTATGCAATATAGAAGCCCTGCTTTGGTTTAAAGGAACATTAGTAAAGAGTTGATAAGGGGTAACAAATGGCTACCAGGTGCTCTAAGCTGGGCGCACAGGTGAATAGCCTGTGTTGTTTATGTGATGGTTTGCACGTGGCATACAGATGTGGACTGCAGCCTAGTTGAGATGGGAGGGGTATGCAGGTGTAATTAATGCACTCAAACGAATGAAACGGAGGTAGAAACCCACAGATATAAAGAAGGGAGGCTAACGGGCCGTTCTTCCACGGAGCCAAGGGTCCCGATCCTGCCCATATGCGGTGGAAGGGACGTTGCTGGTCCTGAGCACTGCTTACCCCTCTGTGCGATGTGCCCTGAGGCATGAAATGGTGGCGGGAGACTGAACCTGGGGCCACGCATGTGGCCGTGATGTCCGGGAGGAGCTACTTCTGCATGTGTGGGCACCGTCAGACCCTCCTTGTGTGTCCAAAGACAAACTGCTTCTGTGAAACAAGTCAGGAAGTTGCAGTTTGGGGCCTCTCTGCAGGCTGAGACACCTCCCGTGCTTCATCCTATCCAGAGCTGTCAACGGTGATGGTGCTTGCTTGCCTTCCCAGTATAATCGATGAGTAAAGGCCCCCAAGGCAGATTGAGACCCTGCTGTATTACAGGTAGTCGTGTCATGGTCCCTGTTCTGGAGGCTGTCTGTAACCTAAAACAAGGCGCAGCCAGTGAGAGTAACAAATGGTAGGAGGGCAGCGGATAGCAAGGCAGTGGGAACAGGAATAAGCACCAACATTTACTTGAGCATGTTGGGATTTGCACACAACAGTGGGACTGCCATGTTTTGTGTTGACTCCCAAAAACATGCAAGAAGCTGCAGTTCCATTGACTTGTAATGAAAACGGTTCAGTTCACTTCGAAGTGTTAGTTTGCTATACCTTTTTCGAAATGTTTCTAGCTAATCATTCCTATTTTTTTTTTCTTAATTCTCTGCTTTATTTGCATGGCTGTAAGCAGATGAAGTCATCTGACATCGACCAGGAACTCTTCACTGAAAGCTATTGCAAAGTCTGCAGTGCTCAGCTGATATCCGAATCTCAGCGGGTGGCTCATTATGAGGTAAAGTCATTTTTGAGACTCGGATTTGGGAATGCGGTTTCACAAAGGTTGCGCTGTATTTGCTGGAGGTCCTCCCCTCTGATGTCATGTCACTATGATTTAGTGCCGGTCCAGAAACCTGGAGTCTGCCCTTCAAAACCTGCAGCATCTTCTTAGACAACAGCAAAAATGGTCCCTGAGCCCCATGCATTCATTTAACCGGGTTAAATGCCAGCAAACCTTCCCCTTGTTTTTGTTTCTCATTGGCATTTTAGGATTTCCGGCAATGCTGCTGCAATGTTTGGGGCATTTGTTTTCCTGCTTGGGTCGACTGTGTTGATACTATGTGAAAAAAATGATCCTTTGTAGGATTATTGAAGGAATCCTTGATAATGAGGCAGTGCACAAAAGGAGGTGCATTTGCAGATCGCTCAGTCACTGATCACCCAGGAGTTCACGGTAGACCACGCGAATTAAAACATAAAAGCAGAGCACTGGTACAGTTTAAACGTGGACTAATTCGTTATTGTTATGCCGTTCTTTAACTCGGTGCTCAGTTTTTCCATAGGGCCCGTGTTACAAAGCCTGCTGTATCTCTCGCCACTGTCCAACCTTGAAGTCAGTTGTGCAGAACATAGAAAAACTAGTTTTAAAAGCAAGGTAGGTGGGGCGGGGGCTCAATTAAGAGTTGAATTAATTCAGCGCAAGTTTTTAGATTAAACGTGGTGCACTATCCATTGCTGAGCAGAAACTGCTAATTGTGCAGAGAATAGATTAGTATTTGTTGAATGTATTTAAGCACTTAAGAGGTAGGCAAGCTATAAACAATTAGGAAGGATATATCATTAGAGACATGTTAGAACAGCAATTAACAGCACTGCACATCTTCCCAACAAAATGAAATGCATTCCTGTTAGAGGGGAGGGAGTCCCCGAGGGACACCCCATCCTGTCATGCTGGCAAAAGGAAAAGACCCCTATGTCCACACTGGGACACGTGCTGTTCAGGCGATAAGAAGCCAACAGTCCTGGAGTTGCTTTGGAAACAGCAGAAGGTGATCGGAAAGGTGAGGTGGCTTGACTAAGTGTAGCCAGGGGTGAGAAATGAAAGCTGGACTCGGATGGGAATAGGGATCGGGAAGGGAAAGGAAAGAGTGCGCACTGCAGAGCTTGGATTATAAAGGGACCTTGGTGACATGCCCGCTCTTATCAGCATGCTTGTATAGGAAGGGGGGGGGAGATATGACTTTACTGAAAACCTCCAGGGGGAAAAGAAATGATTTCTGCCAGGAGCTTGTGAGTGGTTGGGTTTTAATGACTTGGAGAGGGAGAAAACTCGGCTGACGCCATCAGAACTTGTGTCAGTGCCCACAAATCATGGCTTTCCCATGGACTGCTTGGTTGGCCTGAACCTCAGCTCCCATTGGCGCCAGTCTTTCTCTTGCCATGGGTAGGAATGAGAGAGAGAGAGAATTGTCCTACGGTTGCCAGTGGAAACATAGCAGAGGTGCGTGATGTGCAAGGACATCACATTGCATTAATAAATCATGACGACAATAGCATGCAGTTATTTATAAGGCACTTCTCATGCCCTGAGGAACTTGCCAAACCAGTCTTGCCCGGTAAACTCGGAGCGCAGCAGAGATCCCCAGCAGCTGCTGCGAAGAGGAAGGCAGCAGTGCTAGGTCGCGGAAGTGCTGGGAAAGGGAGCCAGATCTCAGGCTAGACACGAGTACGAGTGCCGAATATCGGGGCTGCTGCCTGTGTACCCACCTCCCCTCCTTCCTGTGCAACTGCAGGTGCGAGCCGCATTGTTAATTCAGAGCAGATGTTCTGGAAACGGGGAAAACAACCTGGTTTTGTGTCGTGTATTTCTGGTGCGATGTGTCGTGCCGGCTTGTTGTACCCTGAAAATCCCCAGCAGGCACCGCAGACGGCAGCCCAGCACGTCCTTTATGTAACCGTGCCTGCTGGGCCCCCCGCTTCTTGACGTTTGTGGGCAGACACTGCACTTGGTGCCCTCCTCCTGATGGAGCCAGGCTGGGGCATTACCTGCGAGACGCGAGGGTTGCATTGGAGCAGTGAGCTTCCCTTGCTCCTGTGGCAGGGCCTCATCAGCACCCTCCTCCCCATCCCTTTCAGGGCTTGCTCCCTTCCTCTGGGAGCTGGTATCCAGGTTGTAGCCATATCGCTCTAGTGGCAAAAGCAATCAGGACTCCTGGTAGACGTGGTGTTTTTCTCTCTGTGGCATTCACTCGGGTAGCTCTTGAGCAGACTCGAACTTTGCGGGGAAGTTTTCCAAAGAATCGATGTGCAGCCGAGAAACATCGCTTCTGATCTACATGTGAACGGAAAATCTTTCTGCCGCTGTTGTCTCCTCCTCCCCGATACAAATTGGATATGGTTTCCCGAGACAGGGCCAAATCATTTGTACTGAATAATTTATTCAATGAACTTAGCCTCTTTTTCTACTTGGGCATTGACTGAGCAGCTTTTGATTTTTCCCCAGATCTATTAATCACTAAAAAAAAATATTGGGCAGTAATTTCTGCAAATAATTCTGGCTCTCTGCAGCTGGTCCCCACTCGATTCATTCTGAATGTCGGAGTCCGGGGCTGTGGTGAGTAGTTTCGGTTGGATGCTTGTATCAGGAAGGGTTTCTGTGGCCTGGCTGGATGAGCCACTCTGGCTTGCAGAGAGGTATTTGCTTTTACACCTTCAAAACTCACTTCAAGCGATGAGCGAGCATCCACCGTGGTGGCAGAGGAGAGAATAAAGGGCAGCGGTCTCCAGTTGCAGCGAGAGAAATTAAGGTTGGATATCAGGAAAAACTTTCTCACCAGGAGGGTGAAGCACTGGAACGGGTTACCCAGAGAGGTGGTGGCATCTCCATCCTTGGAAGTTTTTAAGGTCTGGCTTGACAAAGCCCTGGCTGGGATGCTGTTGCTGAGGCTGAGTTTTGCTTGGAGCAGGGGGTTGGACTAGACAGGACCTCCTGAGGTCCCTTCCACCCTCATTTTTTATGAGTTGCTAGTATATTTAACAGCAAGTGGCCCAAGTGAGTGTCCCCCACTCCCGGGGCTGTGGACTCTAGAAACTGCTGCCCCAAAAATGACTTCTCATCATCATTTAAAGTTCTCTGCTTCCTATTAGTAATAAATCAAGGCGGTGACAGTATGACATTTGAGTCAAAAGTACATGTTTTCCTGGGGCACTCCCAATTGGGAACCAAATTTTGAATTCTCCCACCAGAAATGCTGCAAGTGAAAGTTTGGTTTTCTTCCGCCATCAACTACGGCTTGATTTTTGGCGTTTCAGGTTTACGAAGCCCGCGACAATTAATTTCATGCCATCTGTCCTGAATAAACTACGTATTGGCATTTCGTTTCAAAATGTTGCATCAAAGCGAATCGGCCTGTAAACCGGTGTCTGTCTGATTGTTTTGAAGCTTCGCAAAGGACATGGGTGACATCAGGCATTTCAACAACTTTTGCGGTGGCAGGACATTGAGAAGGCCCTTGCCCCCTTGCTTTACCGGTGGCAGGTTCAAGTGTTCCTGGTGTTTTTTGAGCCACGTGCCGTGGGTGACAGGGTAGTCCGTGGTATTTCAGGAATAACTGAGGCAAGCACTTGGATGGGATGGTTGGCATAGGGAAGCTTCTGTAAAGATGTAACGTCTTCATCTAGATGGAGATGTTTCCATGGGCAGACAACTTGGGCTCTGAGATTAAAGCCTACAGCCCCAGGGCCATGTGCTGAAACCTCAGCTCCAGCGTGCATGTAAAATAAGACATTTCTCCAGACAAACTGCAGGGAAATGGCATATGAAACGAGGAGCTTTTTATTTTGCCAAAGCTGAATAGCCCGTTTCAATCAGAAAGAGTTATTGCTGATGTCTCGGGAAGGAGCAGAATGACTTTTTTTAGCACTTCTTTGCCAGGAATGAAAAATAATTTGTTGACAGTTGTGCAAATAATAAGCAGCATTATCTCCAAGGGCAAGTGGAGTGGGAAAATGACAACGGCATCGGTGGGTTTGCCACGTAGCTTCACTTCCAGCCCGACACGCAACAAAACCCCGTCCTCCTTTCACGTCTGTCTCGTACAACTCTCTCCCTCGGCCTGTCCGTGTCTCTGATGCGTGGTTATTGAGCCTCTGCTCTCATCCATGGGAAAATCCACAGTGCCTCCCCATATAACTTCCCTGTTTTCTGGGATGAAGCTATTGAATTCAGGATGCAGTTTGTGAGAGAGTCGATGCGTGCACCTGGATGCAAGGTAGTTATTTCCAGTGCATTGGCATCTACGGAAATGCAAAAATGCCCCCGCGAGCTCCTCAGGCACAGTTGTCAACTGGCATGTGAGGCTGCTTTATAGGTAACAGTAGTTATCTTGCACACAAGCACAAAACGAGAGCCATCTGAGCTGCTGGCGCTGAGAAAGGCGGTGTGTTTGCATGCCACGGTCGTAACCCGGGGGACAGGAGGGGAGGTTTGGGTGGGCAATTGCCCTGCAATACTTATCGGAGAAATCCATACTCCTCCCATTTCTAGCCTTTGTGATAGGGTCTGCCGCTGGAATGAAGTATCCAAATATTGATGCCTAATAAATTCCCTGCTAGGTAACAGCACGGTACACTGCTTTATCTGCTGAGAGTGCTGCATTCGTATTGGCTTTGCTGTTCCCCCCACCTCTCTCCCCCTGGGAGAGAGGCAACGATTGGGTGATGGGATGAAGAAACACCGAAAAGGACAAAGCAGTACAGTCACTGCAGGCATTTGCTGGCTGCATACGGCATGAGGTGACACGAGAGGCAAAGCACAAAGGGAAATACAGAGCCGGGTTCGTGGGGGAGGGAGAGAGGAGTGGTGGAGGAGGCGGGCGCCCTGCCCTCCCCCAGAAGTCGTGAGAGTCGGGTGCGATCTGCAGGGGCGGGGATCAAACGAGTGTGTCAGACGGGCTGGCTCTGTTGTGTGCAGAGTTCAGTCCGGCCTGCCTGACCGTCTGGATGCGCGTCCGGTCC